GGGTTCCTCGTCATCGAATTTGAATATTAATGAATAGTTAATCCTGTTTGAATGTGATTTAATGCTCTAAAAATTGTTGGCAGTAATAAATGGTTGATGTTGTTTGGATTTGTTTGATGCTCTCAAAGTTTTGGATAATAATGAATGGTTGATGTTGTTTGGATGTGTTTAATGCTCTAAGAAGTTTTTGATAATAATGAATGGTTGGCCTTGTTTGGATGTGTTTGATCTAGAAAATTGCTGGTAACAATGAATGCTTGGTTTGACGCGCTAAGAAAACGTTCTGGTTTTTAGTTTATTATTTCGTTTTTTATAATTTCTATTCGTTTATTTTTAGCTAAAAGTTTAAAAACTTTGACATAATTTAGGAAAAAGAAAGATTTATCTTTACAGTGACCAAAAAATAGTCTTTGAACCATAAAAAAACTCTTCGTTACTTGTAACTGATTAACTTAAACATTCTTAAAAACAAACTCTATGTTACTTGTAACTGATTAAGTCAAGCATTCTTAAAAACAAACTTTTTTACTTGTAACTGATTAACTCAAGCATTCTTAAAAACAAACTTTTTTACTTGTAAATGATTAACTCAAGCATTCTTAAAACAAACTATTTGTTACTTGTAACTGATTAACTCAAGCATTCTTAAAAACAAACTCTTCGTTACTTGTAACTGATTAACTTAAACATTCTTAAAAAACAAACTCTTCGTTACTTGTAACTGATTAACTTAAACATTTTTAAAAACAAACTCTTCGTTACTTGTAACTGATGAACTCAAGCATTCTGAAAAACAAACTATTCTTTACTTGTAACTGATTAACTTAAACATTCTTAAAAAACAAACTTTTCGTTACTTGTAACTGATTAACTCAAGCATTCTTAAAAACAAACTCTTCGTTACTTGTAACTGATTAACTCAAGCATTCTTAAAACAAACTCTTCGTTACTTGTAATTGATTAACTCAAGCATTCTTAAAAACAAACTCTTCGTTACTTGTAACTGATTAACTCAAGCATTCTTAAAAACAAACTCTTTGTTACTTGTAACTGATTAACTCAAGCATTCTTAAAAACAAACTCTTCGTTACTTGTAACTGATTAACTCAAGCATTTTTAAAAACAAACTCTTCGTTACTTGTAATTGATTAACTCAAGCATTCTTAAAAACAAACTCTTCGTTACTTGTAATTGATTAACTCAAGCATTCTTAAAAACAAACTCTTCGTTACTTGTAACTGATTAAATTAAACATTCTTAAAAGAAACTCTTTGTTACTTGTAACTGATTAACTCAAGCATTCTTAAAAGAAACTCTTTGTTACTCGTAACTTATTAACTCAAGCATTCTTTTTGTTTTGTAGGTAGAAGTGCATTAATTCTAGAATCACAACAGCCCGACAGCTTACAGAGGATCAAGGAGCTCGAGGATGAAAGTCGATTCCTCAGAACTACCGAGGAAGAAGTGCTATACAATCAACGACCAGAATTTAGTCGTCCTCTGTATAACCTTGACGACTTAGTAGAGGGACAACCTGCTCACTTAGAAGCTATGTTCACACCAGTCAATGATCCTAACCTGAAGGTCGAATGGTTTGTCAACGGTCGTACTATTCCACAAGGTGCTTATTGAAATTACTCTTATTACAAAGTAATATTTAATATTCATAAGTAGCTTAATAAAAATGTTGTTGTTTTTTTTCTTTAAGTTTTACATAACTTTCAACTTAGTCTAGTTTTTGTTAACAAACACCTACAACTACTCAACTTAAACTTTGTATCGCAGAATATAAAACAAGTTTCTTTTTTTCTGACTATATATATTTTTTCCTATTTGAAAAAAAAGAATGTTGATAATCAGCCCATATCAGCATGAACACCTTAGTTGCTCAGACTACAGGGTAAATAAGTTTAGTAAAGTACATAACAAAAACCCCTAGAAAACTTTATATGATAGACTAGTTAACTGTTGGGTTAGTGGGTTACTTGCCCAGACTTCGAGTTTTTAATTCATGGTTCGCGTTCCTTTGCCGTAAAGAAAAAAAAAAACTCGCGCTCCACGATCTGGAGCTGTGAGTGTGCTCTGAGAGTGACACTCAAATACAAATATTCGGCCACATCAGAATATCCCAAGAGTTGACGGTGGGTGTTGCTGACTAGAATTAGGGAAGGTTATGCGTAGATAGGCCTTTTTAAATATAGCATGACTATTCTGAAACAAACAAACAAAAGTTACATGTTGTCTATATCCAATACTGTTATTTTACTTTGGGATTGATTGCAACGTTTTTCTGTTCCAGCTCATCGATTCAGAAGTATCTGTGACTTTGGCTACGTCTCTCTGGATATACTCTACGTCTTCCCCGAAGATACTGGCACATATATGTGTAAAGCCACCAACAAGGCAGGAGAAGCAATTACCACGTGTTCAATAAATGTTAAAGGTATAGGACAGTTCGTTCCTTCGACAAAGTGTACCTAGAAAATGTTGTATATTTTCCTAAAGCTATATCGACAACAACGAACGTACACCTTTTAAACACGTTGTCTTGAGTTAATAAAATTATCTAATATTAACAAATTAAAGTCACTAATTAATGAGTGATTAGTTGTAAATACTTAGGGTTTAACTTTCAGACTAAGAATGGATTTTTGAACTGTTCTTTTAGCAAAAAGTGCAATTTTGACCGACACACTTCATGAGGAAGGACTCCAAAAAATCCGAGAATTAGAAAGTGCGTACACACCACCAGCTGAAGAACCTCCTCCGCCTGTTACTCGTCCAGTATTCTTGACACCACTCAAATCTTTGGACAATGTCGTAGAAGGACAGTCCGCTCACCTGGAATGCCAGTTGGAACCAATTACTGATCCAAAACTGAAGGTCATGTGGTTTGTGAATGGAGTTGAAATCAAAGAAGGTATGTTGTAGGATCATCTAGAGATTAGATGATTAAATCAAATCATCGAAAACACAGTGTGGTTTCTTTAATGGTAAATGATGAGGATTTTCAAATCAATAGTGACAGCTTCTGATAAAAAAAACTGATGTAGGAACTGAATTTAACTTAACACTGTAGAACATTGCAAGAGTTGAAGTTCACGGATTGTATATTCTTATGAACTACATATTGAATATTTATGTTGAAGTTCGTGGACTGTATATTCTTAGGAATTACATGTTGAATATTTATTTTGAAGTTCATGGACTGCATATTCTTATGAACTACATATTGAATATTTATGTTGAAGTTCATAGACTATATATTCTTATGAACTACATGTTGAATATTTATGTTGAAGTTCATAGACTATATATTCTTATAAACTACATGTTGAATATTTATGTTGAAGTTCATGTACTGTATATTCTTATGAACTACATGTTGAATATTTATGTTGAAGTTCATGTACTGTATATTCTTATGAACTACATGTTGAATATTTATGTTGAAGTTCATGGACTGTATATTCTTATGAACTACATGTTAAATATTTATTTTTCTACAACTAGCAGAAATATGTAGCGCTGATTTTATTTTAACTGAAAATAATATAATAGAAACATAATGACAGAACCATAGCATTTTTCTTCAAGATGGTTTTTGACAGGTTGTTTAACATGATATCAAGCATCCCTTGTAATTTCAATGGATTGAGTCATTAGAATCCCTTGCGATTTCAATGGTTTGATTCATTTTCAACAGTTAAAATAAATTATGAAAAAAATTCTTTAAAAGTCGACAAAAGAACAAAAAAAATTTTTTTTTAACAGATGAAAATGTTAAACTGTTTTATATGTAAATATTTGTATTCTATTCAATGAAATAATGTTTAAACCTACAGCTCATCGGTTCCGTAAGACTCACGACTTTGGCTACGTAGCTCTGGATATCCTGTACGTGTTTCCTGAAGACACGGGTACCTACATGTGTAAGGCTGTCAATGAGCTTGGAGAAGCTGTAACTACGTGCTCCATCAAAGTCCAAGGTAAACTTGAGATACTACGTAATTTAAACTGTGGTCACTCACGAACTGAGTCCAAGACTTGAAAAACTAAATAATATATTATTAGACCCTTTCTTTAATTTTACTTTGTCTCCTGAAGCTTAAAAGTATGTCAGGAGTTGAATTATTTTCCCATATTACGAAGTAATGAAAACGTTACAAGATCAAAGCAAGATAAAGTGTAGATTGATCGATGGGCTCCTATACCAAAGAAAGTTTTAGTATCAGCTACAGGGTAGCTAAAACAACCAAAAAGCAGTTTTTGTTCTGATTTGTTTTCCCATAACGTATACGCATCATGCTGAGTGAAATCAATCTTATACCTTTTGTTGTGTTCGTAATTAATATATTATCAAACGAAGTTGATAAATGTCCTTAGAGGAAACTATTTACAATTCTAGTAATAAAATAGTTTGAAATAACTTCTTAATTTGCCTTTATGATAAATTGGTTATTTCTTGTTATATATGTTGCGTTTTTGTTGTTGATGTAATTCTAATAATTTAACTTCAGCTCGACGCAGTATTTTGGATGATACTCAACATCCAGAGGGTCTGGAGAAGATCAGGGAGCTTGAGAGTTTAGTGAAATTCCAACCCATAGAGATCGTAGAAAAGCCATTATGTCGTCCCTACTTCACAACCGAACTCCAGGGAGTAACAGAACTTGTGGAAGGTCAAAGTGCACACTTTGAATGCCGTGTAGAACCTGCTCATGACACTGAATTGAAGGTGGAGATCTTCCACAATGGAAAGCTTCTTGATGCAGGTCTGTACGAAGATCGTTTTTCAGGTGTTGATTTAAAGCAAAAGTTTGAATTTAAATTTAAGATAAAAAGGTCTTAACAATCATAAAGGCATTTTTCTATTTTGCGACGCAAAGAGCCTAACCTTTATCTTAAATTGCAGAAGCCAATACCAAGAAATTATGGGGAGCCAATTAGAATTAAGTCTCTTATATATATATATATTTGATTTGTATATGGAATATTTTTTTTAATATTCTGATCTATTGTATGTTTTAAAGTTTTTAAGCAACTGTTCGTACAAATATTTATAGGTTCTCGGTTCCACGTTACTTTTGACTTTGGCTACGTTGCACTAGACATCAGGCACGTTTACCCAGAGGATACAGGAATGTTTACCGTGAAAGCCACAAACCGTCTCGGAGAAGCTGCAATTTCTATCAATATCAAAGTTCATGGTACGTGATGTTGTTACTTTGAAATTATAGAACTGTTTCAAACTTCCTAAGCAATTGATTTATACGTGATTGTTTATATAACTGTTCATTATAGTATTCAGGTTATCTATCAAACATTATGTTTAATAGCAGTTTTTTGTTCACTAATTAATCCGACCACCATCACGAATAACCACGCGATAAGTATGTAACATGATCACAATCATGAATAGCCACGTGTTCACTAAGTAACCTGACCACCATCGTGAACAACCACGCATTCACTAACTAACCTGACCACCATCGTGAACTACCACGCATTCACTAACTAACCTGACCACCATCGTGAACTACCACGCATTCACTAACTAACCTGACCACCATCATGAACAGTTAAATGTTCAGTAAGTAAAATGACCACCATCACGAACAGTCAAGTGTTCAGTAAGTAAAATGACCACCATCACGAACAGTCAAGTGTTCAGTAAGTAAAATGACCACCATCACGAACAGTCAAGTGTTCAGTAAGTAAAATGACCACCATCACGAACAGTCAAGTGTTCAATAAGTAAAATGACCACCATCACGAACAGTCAAGTGTTCAGTAAGTAACCTGACCACAATCATGAACAACCACGCATTCACTAAGTAACTCGACCATCATCACGAACAGTCAAGTGTTCAGTAAGTAGAATTACCACCATCATGAACAGCCACGTGTTCAATTAGTAACTCGTCCAGCGTTATAAACAGCCACATGTTCAGTTAGAAACCTGACCAACGTCATGAACAGCCATATGTTTGTCAAATAACCTGACTTCCATCATGAACAACCACGTATTCAATTAGAAATCCGACCAGCGTTATGAACGCTTATGGACACTTAAGTGTACAGCAAATAAACTGGACATAATCACAAAGCTAAACTATAACGTCTTAAATGATTAAATGTTCAATAATAACATCCTCACCATGATTTATTAATACAGAACTCAAACCGTATGATTAACTGTTCTCTACTGTAGAAGTATGTGCTCAGGATATGTTATATTTTTTCTATGTGTGATTTAACGTTATTAGTTCCGGAATAGCTCCTGTACGATGAGTATTTCGAACCTAACCTAAACTAGCGTACAATATTTTTCATCGCGTACAATAATAGAAATTCCTAAAATGTACGCATTTAATTCCACTACATTTACGTCACAAAACACTTTCCTGCTTTCACACTGGCATTCACGTACGTAATCTCGTGCGTTCTATTTCCAGGTAAAAGTGCCATCATTCTTGACACTCATCACCCAGAGGGTCTTGCTAAAATTAAGGAACTGGAAGACGAATCGCGATATCGACGTGAAGAGGTAATTGAACCCCACACATTCCAGCGCCCTGTGTTTACAGCCCCTCTGCAGAATTTGGACACTTTAATCGAAGGAGACGCTGCTCATCTAGAGTGTCGCCTGATTCCTGTTGGAGATCCTACCTTAAAAGTGGAATGGTACATCAATGAGAAAGCTCTACCAACAAGTTAGTCACGTGGTTCTTCTTAATTGAGACTTAAATCGAAGTTTCGAAGTATATGCCGTCAAGAATTATAATTTTGTTGTATTATTGAAATGTTCAACCACATTACACTGTGACAATTAAAAATGAATTACTCTAAACAGGTTCATTCTTCTATCGTGAAGAGTTATCATCGTCATAAAAAGTATAGCATTGTTTATGAATGAATCGGATTTTATTCATTTCATTATTACTACTATTCAATAACTTCTGATCAAAAATAAGCCAACCCTTCTGATCAGGACTAACCCCCCCCCTCGATGGATGGGAGGTAAGTTTGCGAAATTTAACACAAAATTTCGGGTCTCGATTCCCCACTTTTTGCACTATGCAAACAACAACAGAACTAAAACGGAACTTACAAGTTAATGAAGCCAATTATATAAAGCAAACTCAACATAAGTACATGACGTCATAAATCAGTACACAAGAAAACTAAAGCCATAATGATTAGAATGTATTGATTCACCAGTTAAGTGCCCTCGCTGTTATAGTTATTTTCGGCCGTAAACCCAATAATACCTCGCGAGGCCTGGCTAACTTAGAGAACCTAAATGTATACGTTATGCTAAGAATACAGAATAATCGTCATAAGTGTAAAAGTTAATAATGATAATATTCAAAAGTATGCTAAGCATTTCAACCACTAATTAATAAAAGTAAATTTAAATACAAAATGGTATGTGTCATTACTTAAACAAAACAGTTCTTTACTTCTTTGGTCTGTCACTGACTCCATATAAAAGCTATATCATCTGCATTTATTGCAAAAAAACTTCAGTGCTTATGTTGATGATAATATACACTGTAAAAGAAACCTGGAGTGTTTTTTGTTTGTTTGTTAAAAAGTTCTGTGTTTTAAGATTTCTGTTGATTACTCATTTAGGCTCTCGTTTCTTGACTACTCATGACTTTGGGTACGTGGCTCTCGACGTCCAGTATGTACGTCCAGATGACGCTGGTGTTTACATGTGCAGAGCATCTAATGAATTGGGTGAAGCTGTCACCACTGCTTCGGTCAAGATAAAAAGTGAGAAGTGACTTTATTATATTCCAGCTGAACCTTCACTATCAGTTGGGATAGAGATAGATAAGTATGGTTGTGTGTAAACTAACTGATATGTTAGAAAGTTTTAATATAATAGCTGTACATCTAAACAAATATAATAGATGGAACCGGAAATTGAGAAAAGAAAGAAAACTGTTTTCTCTGAAATGTGTATTACACTCTCTAGAAAAAATCAATCAATCAAATGTAATTAAATTGGAAAATGGGGAAATTTAAGAAGTTATGTCTTCTCTGATGTTGTAATATAAACTATTTCTGTAGTATTTATGATAACAATAAAATTTAAACATACTTTAATAAAAGGTAAGCAATAATAGTATTGTATGTTTTTAAAACTAGAACAAAATTAAATAATAAATACAAAAGAGTTTGTTGAAAAGCTCAATTTAGAAACATTAATTATTTATGTAAGTGTATAGTTCTGTAAATATACTTTACTGTGCTTATAAAGACGTTGATATTAGTCTGCCCCCCCCCTCCAGTGCCACAGCGGTATGTCTGCGGAATAACAACGCTAGAATCCGGGTTTTGATACCCATGGTGGGCAGCACATAGATAGTCCCTTGTATTGCTTTGTGCTTAACTTGAAACATACAACTAATTAGTCTTTTTTTTTTCATTGGCATAGTCTATATCAAAGTTTCAAGGGGGATACAATTACAATTGTTAGAGTATGGCTTAAAGGTACTGAACTTATAAGTTCTTAGAACTTTCGAGAGGATGGTTAACTTTTCTTTGCCGCGCGAATAGAAAAATATTTGAATTGATTTTTTTTTATTCCAATTTCATTTTAGCTAAAGCCGCAATTCAGCTTGAGACCCAGCATCCTGAAGGGCTGGAAAAAATCCAGGAAATGGAATATCTGAAGAGCCTGAAAGGACCCGAAGAACCAGATAGAGTCTATGACAAACCTGTATTCATTATGCCTATTGTTGGGCCGCACGAACTTGTAGAAGGACAGCTTGCGTTCTTTGAATGTCGTGTCACACCTACGGATGATCCTGACTTGAAGTTTGAGTGGTATTTGAATGGGAAGGAATTGAAAACAGGTGCGCATAGAACAGTGAATATGTAGGGTTTGAAGTTATCATTGTGCAGTTTTAAATGGAATAAAGCTGTTTAATCTTTTACTCAGTTATGTACTCATAAAGCAAAAAAAAAAGATAAAATAGCTTTTATTGTTATGCATTTCTTGACATTGAATGCATTTATTATTATGTAATGTGTAAGAATACTTCAGTTCAGTTCGAAGCAGAATTATTTCAGTTTGTGAAATACTTCATTCTAGGGACTCGTTTCCGAGTCACTCATGATTTTGGGTTAGTGAATATGGAGATCAAATCAGTTATCCCAGAAGACTCTGGTGTTTATATGTGCAAGGCTATTAACAAAGCTGGTGAAGCTGTCACTTCTACGTCGCTTAAAGTAACAGGTTGGTGAATGAATAAACTTTCATATCTTTCTTGGTTATGTAATACATGTGAACACTAAATAAAAAGCAAAGTTTTATACAAATGGTTCTAGCTAATAATCCGTTTCCTTCTAACCAAAATGAGCCAAGAGTCCATATTTCACGTCCCCTTACTGTTACCCCCCAAACAAAAAAAAATGTGAGCGCTCCTCATTCTTCAGCCATTGGTATATTATAAGAGTGACAGTCAAATTCCACTATTGGTCTAACAGGAGTTGGTCGCAGTGTTTGACTAGTTGCCTTCCCTCTTCTTTATCGTTTGAAATTTATGGACGGCTAGCAGAGACAAGTCTCGTATAGTTTTGTGTGAAATCCAACAAGCAAACTAGTTAACCAATGAAAATGCCCGTGAATTTTACACATCACCGCAAACTTTGAGGCTTAAAAATAATACTTTGTATGTGTACAAGCCTAACTCGATATGTAATAGAACACCGCATTTTGTCGAACGAAAACAGCCATTACGATAATGCTGTAATATACTGTTTTATCAACACTGACGAAGAACGTTTGTTTTTACTTTAGTTTATCATATTTTTAGTAAATGTTTCCTTTAGAATCTTTTATATTTCTGTCTAAATTAACTAGCGTTCAGTGAGTTCCATATATTACATCACTTCACAGGTCGCCATGGAGTTCTTGGAGAGAGTCAACATCCCGAGTGTCACCTGAAGACGCAACAGATGTTTGAATTTGATTCCTCACGAATTCCTGAAGTGTGGTGGGATGCGGGTCCTACCTCGCGACCAGTTTTCACGCAGCATTTAAGCAGCTATGACAAGCTGGTTGAAGGTCAAAATGTCCGTCTGGAGGCTAGAGTAGAGCCTGCTACCGATGAGAAACTGAAGATAGAATGGTATAAGAATGGCGTGTCTCTTGTGACAGGTGAGTCTGTATCCAAAAATTAAAATAACAATTGTTTAGAAATTATTTCCCATTTAGTACTCAAGCGTTAATGCAACCTCAATTACAAATATTGTCCGTGAAGGCACCTATACAGAGCCCAGTTCTAAGGTACAAACCTCAATTACAAATATTGTCCGTGAAGGCACCTATACAGAGCCCAGTTCTAATCAGTTCTAAGGTACAAACCTCAATTACAAATATTGTCCGTGAAGGCACCTATACAGAGCCCAGTTTTAATCAGTTCTAAGGTACATTGATAAGACTTCAAATTTACTAACAACGTAATTTTCTTCTTCGTGTATGTAAAATTTGTTGTAGATTTTCCGAATCTTCTGCTTAACCATTCATTGTCCACGTAAATACACAGCAAAAAAAAAGAACAGTGAGTTGCTCGATACAGATACATTTCCTTGACATTAAACGTTTATTGTTATCGCTATTTTTGAAATAAAGATAATTGTTCATTTTATCGCTAGTTTATTTTGAACCTACCATAACCTAATATTTATATATAGGTATGTTAGGCTTATTACAGAAATATTGTCACTTTCACAGGAACGAGGATGGCTATGACCTTTGACTTTGGCCTTTGTGCTCTTGAGTTGACCGGTATAAGGCCTGACGACTCTGGTATTTACACGTGTAGAGCAGTGAATGAAGCTGGTGAAGCCGTCTCCACGTGTTCTCTTAAAATTGAGGGTAAAAAGAAAGACTTTATTTAGACTTAACTCACGTGTTGAACATGCCTCTAGTACTCTATAGTATTTTTTTAAACGCTTATAAAATAAGGAAAAGTTAACCTAGACAAAGCAGCCAGTGATACTAAATTGCGTTTTGTTCATATGGTATTTTCTTCCGTAATATGCATGTTTTTAATTTCACGAGAATAATACACGTCTTATTTAATGTATTTAGATGTTTTACATATCATTAGAACAACACTGTATAGTGGGTAAGTTCTTCAATAAACACATTTAGAAAATTATTGTTAGAATAAGGTTTAGCGCACTTGTACACATTACATTGGCTAACTATTTTTGAAGCTTTATTTCTTTCAATACAAAATCAAGAGAATAAGAAATATAAACTATGATACTGTCTTTCTGGTATCAGGTAAAAAAAAGATTTAATATAGGTATAAAGTAAGGAAAACTTTGATATATGTATTAAGTAAAGAAGATTTGAATACAGGTAGTAAACAAGGATATTTAAATATAGGTATTCGGTAAATAGGACTTTAATACGGGTATCAAGTAAGGAAAACTTTGATATATGTATTAATTAAAGAGGATTTGAACATAGGTAGTAAACAAGGATATTTAAATATACGTATTCGGTAAATAGGACTTTAATATGGGTATCAAGTAAGGAAAACTTTGATATATGTATTAAGTAAGGAAAACTTTGATATATGTATTAAGTAA